ATCAGGACGCCTCCAGGAAGGATGCCTCCAAAGTGCAAAAGCCCCAGGCGCCCAGGCTCCAGCGTATCGGGGGTCCCTGAGACAGCCGATAAACCAATATGCTTGGGCACCGAAAGAATGACTCCACCTGATGTGCCGCCTCGTCCTGTGGGCACGGCAGGGAAGACTCGACCACGTCGGCCCTGACTCCGAAGTTGAGCTTCGAGCGGCTCAGCGTCAACAACATGAGATTCTTGAAGAGCCAGCACATCGGCACTGGCAAGGGAGGAGGAAAGGAAAATGTCAAGCCCAGCACGCTCAGTGACATTGCATGTCACAAAAGACCAGGCGCGCAAGTCAGAGGGCTCACTGCTACCCACGCTGCTGCACCTTGGGCTTCTTGACGTTCTCCAGCGCGTGCTGCAGGGCGGCCTCGACTGCCTTGCGTGTGATGCCGTGGCAGCCAGCATCCTGGGCATCCTCTGCGTCGAGATCCTCGGCCTCACGCTGGCCAGCCTTGGCGACGAGGTCGTCGATCCACTCACCGTCGAGGTCGGCAAAGCTGATGCCCTTGTCGCCCATGGCGTCGTCCTTGCAGTCGCTCGCCACGGCCGAGGGCTGACCAGGCAGACCATCAGCGCCAGGAGCATCACCATTCCCAGCAGGTTGAGCTGCTTCAGCCGCCGCAGCCTCGGCAGCTTGCTGGGCTTGGCGCTCGACGGCGAGGTCACGCTGCTTGATGAGCATGTCGAAGTCGCTGAGCACGGAGGGGTTGACGCCGAGCTTCTGCAACTGGTCGCGGAGCGCAGCTGCGGGGTCATCAGCGTCACCACCGGCCTGCTGCTGCCCCGAGAGCTGGGTGAAGGCAGTGGCCGCACGCTTAGCAGCCTCACGCTCCTGCGCCTGCAGGGCCACAAACTCGCACTGGAGCTTGTGGACGCGCTCGATCTGCAGCATGAGGTGGCCACGGGCCTTGTCCAAGGCCGTCTCGGCCTTCTGCACCTTGGCCTTGAGTGTGTCGTGCTCAATTTTGGCCTCCTTCGAGACAGCCATTGGGTCACCGCTGCGCACAGCACGACGAGCCAGCACCTTGGACCGAACAGCCGCAGGGATAAGACCAGAGAGGGCATCAAACTGATCACTGTCCATGACCAAGAACGCTTCGAACTGCTTATCATCGAGAGAGTCGAATGTGTAGGTGTGCGCAGTGCCCCCACCACCGCCAGCGCCTCCACCACGAAGCTTCGGCGGTCCATTAGCCCACGCGCCCGCTGGGGGCTTTGCAGCAACGACACCAGGGGCTGCAGGACGGGGGGCACCACAGCAGTAGCACGTCTTGCGCCACTGGAAGTTGTTCGCGAACTGGCACTTCTTGACCGAGCAGGACCACACCTGCAAGCTCCACGGCTTACGGATGAAGCCGCCATCGCTGCGGCCATTGGCGCCCATGAGGAAGGGGAAGCTGGCCTGTTGCTCCCACAGGAGCTCACTGAAACGAAAATACCTCGCCTGACCCAGGCAAGGAGGTGCACTGTCGGGGGCCGCTGCTTTCCCCCAGGCCAGTAAGGTCAGGTCCGAGCCGAAACCGCTACGGACTTGAGCCAAAATGGCTACGGACCTCCTCCTCCTCCTCCTCCTCCTCCTCCATCCATTTTTTTCTCTCTTCTCCCAGCGCTCACTCCCACTTCTCCCGCTGCCGCGCACATGCGCTACAATGGCCCGTCTGACAAACGATCAGACGAGTTGCAAGTCGGCCACGGTCAAGACACAGGACGGCTCAGCATGCACGAGTGACAGGTCTGCCATCTCATGCAGAACACTATGCGCGACGGCCCGCTGCAGCGCCACTCCTAACAGCCCCCACCATCTTTGCAACAGCCCTTGAATGACGCCCCGGCGGATGCGTGACTGAAAGCTTTGCCCACGCTCCTGTGCCAGTGCAGGGACGAGATCGACGCACTGCTTGCCCCATCGCCCGTAGACTTCGGCTCCTAAGCAGCATAGTGCTCCCAAGCCAGAGTTCTCCACTTCCCAGTATGTCTCATTATTTTCTCTTTCGGCCTCCTCCAGCAGCTTGCCATTTCTGTTACTGGTTCCCGGATGAGGTTGGCCATTGCGGGAAATCGGAGAAACTACCCTTGCGTCGCAGAACAGCGGCAGCCCGCGTGCAACATTGAGGCAAGGTACCACAATATCCATTCGCCTATTGTCCCCCAGTGGCACTGGGATGTGCGTATTGCGCAACAACTTCTCAATGTTTCTGTCAGGGATAACACTCCCTGCCTCTGAAAACACTTGCCTCCAAGCTTTGAGTACTGTAGTGTGTCGCGTCTGCCATCTTGCCCCCCGGTTGTCAGTGATCCGGTAATGCCCGTGCGTATCAGGACCATCGTAAGATAGAGCCGCCGACGCATCGCGCACTGGAGTTCGATATTGCTGAAGCGCAGCATGGGGGAAGTCGGAAACACCGTAAGCCATGCAGCCGAAAACGGCCCTGAACAGGAGCGCAAACGTGCTTTGCCGACAGTGGCTGCATTTCGGCGGGCCCCCGGACCACCACCCAAAATAACCATGAGATCTTCGCGTGACTTGCGCTGCACTGCGTCGGACGAGTGGTATTGCCATCCATGTTGCCGTTCACCTACTGAGAGTTGCCCTGGTGGTGAGGGCGGAGGCCGGACCCCGCCCGCTACGTCGTTCCACAGTGGGCGGTCTTGCCATCCTTGTTCAACGCACTATTTTCCAGCCAATTCCGCAGCTGTGATCCCTTCTGGCCCAACGTGAACGTCTTGAGGCTGTAATGCTTCAGCTGCGCGAGGATCCGCCAGGGCACGTTGTCCGTACTGCGGATATCGAGCAATTATTTCTGGTAGGGAATCCGCCCAACTTGCCCAATAAGCCGCTCTGGACGTACGTCCCGAATGGCGTAACCCAGAACCGCCTCCTCCTCCTCCTCCTCCTCCTCCTCCTCCTCCTCCTCCTCTTCCTCCACCCATCTGCCCCCGCTTTGGGAACGAGGGCTTCCCCAGCCCGCTCTTCCACTGCATGCTCCTCCGTATCCCTGATCAGGGCAACTCGCCTGGGTATCGTCTCTAGATGGGCTGGTGTTTTTTTTTGTCGCAGCCGCAAACGAAGGCGCAGACGGCGTCAAAGGTCGACTCGGGCTACGGGCGGAGCCGCTGGTGGGGTTATGCGCAGCGCCTAGAATTTCAAATTAGGCTTGGGGGGGCTCTTCTGGAGTAACGGGTGTGCTGTTGGACACGGAGGCTGTTGAATAGAACATGAATTTCAAGTCAGGCTTGGGGAGCGTGCTTGCTGGGTAGCGGGTTTGTTGGACACAGAGGCTTTGAGTAGAAGGGGCCTGCCTCGTCAGCCGAAGGGCATGCCAGGGTGTGAACTTGCTCCACGGTCCACCACAAGCCCAACCAGTGCCGCGGGTAGGGGAACGGAGAGCACGGACGTGGCCCGAGCATCGGGGGTTGCGGAAGAGATTGTGGAGATGAACGCGCAGAAGAACCTGGACCAACACAAGGGCTGCTTTGACGGCCTGTTGGATGGTCCCCGCTGGGGCACTGCGAAAGTGCACGCTTGTTATGTACATTCCAGCCGTAGGCGACACATGGGGAAATCTGTGTGCGCACAGCGGGCTAGATATTTCTATACATATGTAGATGTATATGTATATCTAGATACATAGCTAAATCTATGTACATCAGCTTCTAATTCTACATGTGTAATATTTGTGCATCATCTTCTAATATATGTACTCGAGGGGAGCATCCGAAGAGCACCCAGTTCTCCTTCCCGATGAAGGTTCTCAGAATTCCTGGGAGGGCCCTGGCTCCCGAGGTCACACTCCCTCGTGAGTTACAACGATTCGCGCTCGCGAAGCCACGACCCCATGTAAATTACGACAGGTCCGCGCCCCCGAGGCCGCACACCGTTGCGAATTACAACCTGCCCGCGTTCCCGACATCCCTACTAACAAAAGCCACATTGGCGCCCTGGACACCACAACCCCTTGTGAATTACACCTGGCTCGTGCTCCCCAAAGCCACAACCCCTGAACACTTTACATATTCGCACCATCGAAGCCACAAGCCCCTGTGCACTACAACAACTCCGCACTTCCGAAATCACGGCCCAAGAACAATGAAAACAGGCTCGCGGTCCCCAAACCGCAATTCCTCGTGCACTACACCAAACGCATTGTACATTACGCCAGCTTCGCGCTCCCGAGGCCACACTCCTTAGTACATTTGTGTGTGAATCTGCGTCCCCGAAGCCACCCACAGCCACTTGTAACTCTATACAAATTTGCGCTCCCGAGGCCACGAACCCACTCCGCGGAGGCCGCCCAAACGCGCAACCCCTCTCCAAAGCAGAAAAACTGTAACGTTTCGAACCGCTGCCATTCCCTACATTGGCATACGTGTTCGGTGGGGGGGGCGCTCGTCGGCCCCACCTCCGTCGTTTCCTGAGAATTCGGCCCGGTGCTCGAGGCCACAAATCCTCGCACATAGGCACGAGTGCGCGCTTCTGAAGCATCGGACCCTTGCGATTTACGGTGGAAGCGCGCTCCCGAGGCCACCATCCCAGATAACTTCTGACAGACGCGGGCAACCAGCTAGCCAGCAAACAGCCCACTTGCTTGCCAATTACCAATCCAGCCAACAAGCCAATCAGCCGAACTGCCAGCCAGCCAACCGACAATGAAACCAACCAACCTACCAACCAAGCGTGGCCATGCAAGCAATCTGAGGGGGGGGGCGAGGTCAAGCGCGAGGCTCTTCTTCAGATATCACTAAACGATGCGATGACGCAAATTCGGTTTGGGCCTGCGCAGGAGGCACAACTATGCATATGCCTGCCAGAGCATCAACGTAGAGATTTGGACAAGTGTATTCGCATGACTGCGCGTTGAAAGATGCGGTTTGGGATATGAGGTCACTGGTGTTAGTCACTGGCTGCAATGATATCCTCCTCCACCCTCGAAACCAACTTACCATGGCAAAGGAGGCCTCTACCCGGCGCATCTCATCCTCATTGTTGGGCTTGTGATCCTCTGTCATGTCCTCTACAGCGCAGTTGCCGCAGGAGGGTGCGCAGGAACGGCCGAGGCAAAGGCCCACTTCAAAATGCGCACGCGCTCGCCTCCCAGAGCTCATGCAACATCCGTCCATGCCTTCCGACTTCGTGTCTCCCCTGCTACCCGTGGTCTCTGTCGCGCTATTGCTGCTAGTCGTTGCTCTCGCCCGTGTCAATCGAGTGGGTAGAGCATCTGGTCAGAAAGAATCACATCCGAGTCGGTCGCACCACGACGGCAAACTACTCGGAGGGCTTTACTGGAGGATCAAGAAACGGCTTAAACGTAAGTTTCCGGAGGTCCCATCGGATTTCTTGGATCGGCGCTGGACCCCTTCCCTGGCATACGTGTGTGTGTGTGTGTGTGTGTGTGGGGGAATTAGAAACGGCGGGCCTTCTCAGAAGGCTCGGAAGTCCCCCAGCCTTCTGAGAATTTTCTAAGCCTTCTCCGAAGACGCAGAATACCTCTCAAAGGCTGGAGGGCTTCTGAGAAGCCCCGCCGCCCTAGAGGGCCTCCTCCTTTTGACTTTCCCCCCCTCGCTCGCCGCCGATGGTTGACTGACCTCGCATGCAGCACCTCTTATCTTTTAAGTTGTGCTTCCATGCTCATTTTAGCTCAGAGGTGGTATCGTGCCTGCATGACTCCATTTTCTATGCTGCGTCCTGCGTCCCGCAGCACACCCACGGCGGGCCATCGGTGGCAAGCTGCTTCCAGTCAGAGCCTGCGCCACGCCACGGGCCTGCGCCCGCCGCGTGCCGTCGGACCTGGGCGCGTCATCCGCAACAGGTTGCGCACACTCCAGCCGCTGGCGTCTTCGGGGGGACAGGAGAAGACTGGAAGATAGAGGAGGGGAAGCAGGGGAGGGGGGAGAGGGGCGGGGAGAAGAACGGGCGGGACGGGAGGATGAGGAGCGAAAGGAAGGGGAATGGGAAACAATCGTCGACTAGCCGAGTCGTGACGTGTTGGCCGAGCATCTTCGAGGCTTGCGCGCCCACGGCAGGGGCCACGCTGACAGATCCTGGTCCCGATGGGAGGCTCCAATCCTGGCCATCGTTGGGAAGAAGTGTGCAGAAATATGAAACGGGGGGCCCGCGGAATGGCGTAAGCCGTAAGCCTTCTGAGTTCATGGTCGAGACGTAAATGGTCGGCCTCAGAATCCAAACAGCCTCAGCTGCTGCGCTGGGTGTTCATGGATCATGACAGCGACGGCCCACACACACATATCTATATGTGTATACATGTATGTATATTTGTATATACGTGTAAATGTATGTATGCATGCGTGCATGCATGCATGCATGTATGTATGTATGTATGTTTGTTTGTATGTATGCATATATATATATATATATATATATATATATATATATATATATATATACATATTCGCCCCACCCCCTATACAACCATACACATTATCCCATTGATCCTTGCGTGAACTTGGCAAGCAGTGTTCCAGGCGTGACACCACATCGGGCTGAATATCTCGGCAGGACTTCGCGTGGACTGTGGCCCAAAATTTTAAGGGCAAAGGAGAAGCAGTGCCGTGGTCGTGTATAGTCTGCCTTCATATGCAATTCGTCACGTCATGTGGGCTCGGTTGACTATGTCACATGGTCATACTCATACTCATACTCCTCCTCCGTGCCGGGAGCCTTTTTGGAAACATTGTGGCAGTCTCTGGACCTCTCCGGGCCTTCGTTTGGTATCCTTTGAGGCCTTTGTTGGCCCGTCTGAGGGCTCATTTCGGCCGTTCCGGGTCCCTCTTGGCTCGTCGTGGGGAGCTCAGCCCGTCATGGGGCCCTCCTGGGGCCCTCTCCGACCGTGTAGGAATCCTCTGGTGGCCCCCTCGGGCTTCCTGGGGGCTCTCTTGGGCCGTCGTGTAGCTCTTCTGTGCCGCTTGAAGCTCTCCTCAGCCCATTTTGGAACCCTCTTTGGGGCCTCTGGGACCGTCTGAGGCTCATTTTGGAGCCTCTGGGGCCGTCGCGGCCGCTGGTAGAACTGAAAAACGAAGCTCCCAGAAATATGTTTTTCCATAGGAAATGCTTGATGCTTGCCTTTGGAGGGCCTTCTCAACGGCCTCTTGGGCAGTCGTGGGGGGGTCATTTTGGGCCTTATGTAGTCTGTCTGGGAGCCCATTTCGGCTATCCCAAGCCCCTCTTGGCATGTCATGGGTAGCTGAGCCGTTAATGGAGCCCTCTCCGACCATGTAGGGATCCTCCGGTGGCTCCCTCGGGCCCCCTGGGGACTCTCGGGCTGTTTTGGAGCTCCTTTGTGCTGCTCGACGCTCTCTTGAAGCTGTCTTGGAGCCCTCTTGGGGGCCTCGTGGACCGTGTGGCGCCGATTTGGGGAGCCGTTGGGGCCGACGTGGCCGCTGATGGAACATACGAAGGGAATATCATAGAAATGTACGTTTTTCCATGGATAATGCTTGTTTTTTGCACCCGGGAGCCTGGTAGGCCTTTTTTGGACCCTCTGGGAACCCAATTCGGCTGTTCCGGGTCCCTCTTCGCCCGTCATGGGGACCTGAGCCCGTCTTGGGACCCTCTCCAACCATGTCGGGATCCTCCAGTGGCCCCCTCGGGGTTCATGGGTACTCTCTTGGGCCGTGTTGGAGCTCTCTTGTGCCGCTTGAAGCTCTCTTCAGGCCGTCTGGGGGCCCTCCTGGGGGCCTCTTGGGCCGTCTGGGGCTCATTTTGGGAGCCTCTGGGGCCGTCGCGGCCGCTGGTAGGACTGAAAAGCAAAAATCCAGGAAATATGCATTTGTTTTTCCATCGGAAAATCCTGATGTTTGCCCTTGGAGGGCCTTCTCGGCGGCCTCTTGGACCGTCTTGAGTGCCTTTGTGGCCGTCTAGGAGTAGTCTTGGACCGCCTTCAATCGCTCGTGGCCTGTCCGGAAGCCATCTCAGTGCGCTCTTCAGCCACCTTCCAGACAACCTGGGGCGCTTTGGGCGCCTCTTGGGCCAGCTTGGGAGCCTCTGGGGGGCTCCGGGGCCCCTTCTGAACTCTCTTGGAGCCCTCAAGGACCCCCATGCGAACCAAAGGTCGTAGTTATGGGCCCTCCCCCGGTCTACTCCAATATATATATATATATATATATATATATATATATATAGCGGAGAGACGAGCATGCGAGGAAACAATAACTACGAACAATACCCAGAACTTCAGACAATGAGGAATGGTTGAATGAGGGCAGTGTCGCGGGATGGATGGTAAGGATGAGGGAATGAAAGGAGAGGGGGAGAGGGGCTGAAGGAGGGACGGGATGCAGTGGTTAGACGACGGGAACGCATCAAGCTACTCGGTACAGCTGAGCCCGACGGAATCGCTGAACCGCAGCGTCACTCTGTCTGACCTCTGCTTCACTTTCAGGATGCAGGCTGCGGAGCAGCGTCGTGCGATTGAGTAGCGAGAGCTCGGCTTTCTTCTGCAAGTACTCCTGAAGTGCTGATGCATCTGCCCTGCCTCCCACAGCTTCAAGCAAGGCGACCTGCCATTACGCATGAGGCAGAGACTGCAAAGAGATCATCTCCTGAAAGATCATGTTGCCGTCTCTCAGCCTCGTCGCAGCGGGCTGGAGCAGGCGAACCACATAAGAGGACACACTTAAAATCTGGAGGGGGGGGATAAAAAAAATCGATACCGCTTCTGCCCGGACCTCTCCAGGGGTGTGACCAGAATCTCTGAGAATCGCGACGCGAATCAGAGCACAGGCCGACGCAGAGAAGAAAGCATGCCAGGCCAGTGACGTCACTGAGAAGCGGCTTGTCAATATCAACGCTCGACCTAAACCATGTGTTTTGTTTTCGTTTCGTTTGAGGTGCTCCCCGTCCTGGCTGCACCCGTCGATTCAAGACAAACTCAAAATGGGAGTGGTCCACGAAATTGTCAAACCATATTGGCCCGAATAGCATTCGTTCCTTGTCAACACAGCGTTCAATTGATCCGCTGGGTCGGAATGCTTGGGGGGTGAGCGGTCCCAACGACGTCCAGGCCGCGTAAAGGAAAGAACCAACAACAAGTAGCGAAGAGGCAGAGGAGAAGGAAGAGAGGGCCGAGCCGTTAATGCAGGTTATTTCCTGTTTTGGGAGGGGTCGGGGGGGGGGAGGGGAAGAGAGAGATAGATAGAGAGAGAAAGAGAGAGAGAGAGAGGAAGAGAAAACGAGAGAGAAAGAAGGAGATAAAGGAGAAACATAGAGGGGTATACATACACATCTATACGAACATGCATATACATTGAGGGATAGAGCGAGATCACGAGAAAACGAGAAAGAGAGAGAGAGAGAGAGAGACAAGCAATAACGAGAGAGAGAGAGAGAGAGATATAGAGCAGGGATAACAAACATACGTGGATATATAGAAAGAAAAAAAGGACGACAGAGATGGAAAGAGAGAGAGAGAGAGGGCGAGAAAACAAGATAAGGATACACATGTTTACGTATGCATACATATAGACAGATGGAGACATGGAAATATAGTTATACACATATATACACACTTATACATACATACATATACACAGAAAGGGCGACATAACAATATATGGCGTGTATTTCTGTATCCATTTATTGTTGTATACATATAAATATTTTATATAAATGAAGTTATGAGGGTAAGGGAGAAATAACCAAATATATCGATAATTATGTCTCTCACTCTCTAGGCCAGACGGAAGCGGGCGACAGCCCTGTATTCACAGCAGTCGCAACCGTTCACTTTTCAATCTGTGTGCGACTGAGATGCATAGCGAATCTCTTCAGGACAGCTCGAGCTAGACTGGGGCCGAGGTCCTCGGCCTTCACCCAGGCGGCCCGCAGGGCCGGCACGAAACTTCAAAACCCCTCACCGTAATGGCGATAGGAGGGGACGACGGGAGGAAAGACTTGAGCATAGACGGATGCGGCCGGAGGGGAGAGAGAGAGACGTTCAGAGAACTGTAGCATCTCTCACCCTTTAGGCCAGACGGAAGCGGGCGACAGCCCTGTATTCACAGCAGTCGCAACCGTTCACTTTTCAATCTGTGTGCGACTGAAATGCATAGCGAATCTCTTCAGGACAGCTCGAGCTAGACTGGGGCCGAGGTCCTCGGCCTTCACCAAGGCGGCCCGCAGGGCCGGCACGAAACTTCAAAACCCCCAGACCCATACTGTGCTCTGGAGCCGCCTGAGGTGAAACCTTGCCCAACTATCTGATTCAAACGGGCTCCACGGAGGGCTTCAACGGATCTCACGAGCCAAATCGCAATGGCAGCCGATAACCTCTTAGGGTAGGAAGTCGCGAGAGCGGTTAAGTTGACGCCAGACCCCGGAGCCTTACCCCGAAGTATGATGTGTGGTTTCAGACTAAAAGAACAGCACCCGTGGCCTTTACAAAGCAAGTGTTCATCACGCAACATGGGGGCGTGCCAGCCTACAAAGCGAGTGCGCCTACGCCAACGGGCCCCGAAACCGCACTGATCGATCACAAGCTGCTTACAGGAGGGATGGCCCATCAAGGCCGACATTCGCACTTCGCGCCACGCTTTCGAGGCGTGAGGATCCTCGAGCAAAACAGAGACACGCGCACGGATACAAGCCCTCACAAGCCTACAGGTGACCTTCAGAATCTGATTACCCGTCTTCAGTCTAGCGGCATCTGCGGGAGTCGGGTTCGGAATCCCGCAAGGGCACCAAGGTCTGCGGATCTGCTTGAACAAGGCTGGAGTCCAGCTGCTGCATGGGAAGGCTGCGAAGATTCCTTTCACCACGCCGGCCTGGATCCAACCCAAGATCACGTTGACTACAACTGGGTTGGGGAGGTCATACTCTGGTCCATTGAGAGAGTCAAAGCTGATGCAACTTTCTCTCATCGAGTTCAGGCGTTCACCAACGGCACCTGTGCCCGAGAACAAATCTAGATACGCGCGATTGTCATGGCCAAGACTGGCTGCACGCTGAAAAACTTTCCGAAGTCTACCTCGAATTAGATGAGCAGGCAAATGTTGATCCAACCCCGCGTTGCGGTCCCCACGGCCTCCGTGAAAAGGCCGTCTCATCCCTTCCCGTGCAGTCGCTTCCTGCCCAGCCCGGGTGGCGGAGGCGGCTTGGCCTGCAGGGCCAGCAGCAGGTGCAGCTGGCTCTCGATGGCCAAGCCGTAGTCCCGCACAGGCTTGGGCAGGCACTCCAGCGACTTCAGAACTCTTGCATGCTTCTCGTACCTCTTGACCGATGTGTCCGCGGCCCAGCGGCCGCGGCGCTTGATCTCCTCCAGGGAGCGGGTCTGCCTGAGCGCGTCGTCGCTGGCCCCCCCGTGCCGCATCATGCACGGGTGGAGGTTGGCCTGGCCCAGGCCCGCAGCCTCTGACACGCGCTTGAACAGGCTCGAGAACTTCCGATATGTCAAAGGGCCACACCTTGTCCCGGCCTGAGCGCTTCTTCAAGGTTGAGAAGCGTGGGTAGAGGCAAACCAGCTCGGGACTGTCCAACAGGATGCTCTCGTCGAACTCCTTGGTCTTCGTGGGGATGGCTTCCTCCTCGGGCGCCAGCAGCAGCGCCCAGAACTTGGTCCCCGAGCCGGGGGGCGGAGGAACGAGCTGATCCACCCGCAGCCCCAGGCGCTCCCTGGGCCTCAGGTACGTCCGAAACAGGAACACCAGGCACTGCGCGAACTCCAGCTCGTTGATGTGCAGGGCCGCGCCCACTAGGGCACGCAGGCCGATCCACGGCAGAGGCGCCCGACTGAGACCAGGAGCCAGCCTCCTGAAGCCCTTCAGCGCGATCTTAGCCCGCTCGAGGACCTTCGCGCTGCGGATGCCTGGGGTCCTGTATTCCAGCGCCGCGATTACCTTCTCGCCCGAGTCGTGGTTGTGGCCCTGGAAGTAGAGGTCCTCCAGGTACTCGAGCATCGCGAAGGAGATGTCCTCGCTGGCGTTCAGCGGCAGCCCGTCGTTGCTGGTCCAGGTCTGGAAGTCCCGAGAGTACCTGTCGTACATCAAGGCAGAAGGACGTGTCACCTTGTTAACCTCCAGGAAGTACTGGCCGAAACTGCGCGCCTTCGAAGCTTCGTCCTGGTAGCTGACGGCGGCGAGCGCGTTGCCTCCGCTGCTGGGCGGGTGGCTGGTGGCTGACCTCCGTCAAAGGCCTCCTCGCAGGCAGAGGCTGTGTCCGAGAGAGCAGCAGCCTCTGAATCGTCGCTATCCGAGTCGAAGTCCTCGAGGTCCCCGTCGTCAACCCAATCGCGCCAATTGCTTGATGGCCCCAACGTGTAAGGCCCGCCGCCTGGGCGCCAGAGCCCGTCGTCGAACTCGGGCGGGGCGTCTGGGTCGCCGCTGGCTCGGGCGAGCGCCTCGACAGCAGCCTGGAGCGAGGCGCGCACCTCCGGGCCTCGGGCTGCCCGAGGTGGACGAGCATCCCGCGGCCCGCCGCCGCCCCGCACGGGCGGCCCCGTCTTGATCCGGGCGGCGGCGTCGGAGGGGTTGAACTCTGAGGGAATCCATCTCGAGACGAAGTCCGAATCCGATGCCATCGACAACGCAGCTAGTTGACGACAGTGTTTGTTGACGACCACGCTGCTCGCCCTGCCCTGCCCCTGCGCCAAGACGAACCCCAAGTTGTCTCCGAGGATGATGTGGCGAAGAGAGAAGTGACGAACCGATCGAAGACGATTTCTGGCAGCGATGACCGTTGCCCTCCCCTCTGATGACGTGATGTTCTCGGCCACTCGCCAGCGGCCACGAACCTTCAATCCCCAGCTAGAGAAGGGCCCGATGCTCTCGCGCCGGATGTCCATGAGCTCGGGAGGGAGCTCATCTGGTAGTGCCCCCTCGCACGGCCGCTGCGCACCCGACGGCTCCGCGTCGGAAGCCAAGGCGCGGCGGCGGGCCTGCGCAGCGCCCTCGACTGCGAACCTCCAGCGCTCATTCTGCCGGCCCCGCTCTCTCACTGTCTGGAAGTCGAAGGGCTTCACCACGATGCCGAACCCCCCGTTGTCCGTTGGCGCCCTCGGAGTCCGTCGCAACGACCTGCGTGCTCCAGGGCCTCTTGCTGTCCGTGTGAGCCAGCGGCAGCAGCGCCATCGTCCAACGGAGCTCTCGGGCGACCGCAGGCCAGATCTTGATGCGTGAGTCGCCAGCCACCTCTATGAAGCGATAGATCGAGTGCGGGATACTGAGTAAGCACCTTCTCAAGATAGCCGACCAAATGAAGCGCCCTACGATGCGATGCAAGATTTTCCCCGAGACGAAGCCGTCCTCGAGGATGGCCGCGATGGCCAGGCGCACCTTCCAACAACGGCGGTGGCCGACTGAAATACGTCCTGAGGCCCGGTCGAGCGTCATGCCCGTGAACTGGGCCTCGGGCAAGCCGTGCTCGAGCTCCTTGCGCTGGAGCCCGTCCGCCGCGAGCTGGGCGTAGAGCCTCTTGGCCATGTCGCTGACGACGTCGTCGCAGGCGCCGATAACCCCCGCGTTGTCGACGTAGATCGCAGCCCCGAACTTGTCGCCAGCGATGTCGGGCGCGTGCTTCTTGTCGAGCAGGAAGGCCTCCGTCGGCACGCCCGCGCGGAGCGCGCTGGCCGTCGCCATTGCCCGGCAGAAGTAAAGAGCCCAAGACCAGCCCATGGCCATGACTTCAAGGTGAGGCGTGACGTAACCGGTCGCGGTCACGCCAAGCCCGGTTGCCAACTTGCCGTTGGCTTGATGAAGGTGCCGAGCAGAAACCCGGGGCAGCGCGAAAAAGTCCGAGACGCCGGGCGGCGCCTTGCAGCGATAGAAGGCGTTGTCAACGTCCATCTGGGACAAAGTAAGGTCGTCCGTGAGCCCGATCTCGACGGAGGCCCATGACGCAGGAGTTGGCAGGCGCGAGTGCGCCGGCTCGTCGAAGAGGTCGTTGACCGCTCTGGTGTCCAGGATCATACGCAAGCGCCCGTCCTTCTTCGCCACGAAGAAGATGCCAACCGTAGCTGGGCGCTCAGCACGTATGGTGACCAGACCGGCCTCCAGCATTTGCATGGCGAAGTTACTGTAACGCACCTGGTCCTTGACCAGAGAAGGGTCGCTGTACGGTCAAATTGGGGCATTAGCCGAAGTTGAGCTGCCAGAAGACTCTGGCCGCAAAGTAGTCGAAACAGACCTCCAGCGTTCAAGAGCCTGTCCGGACAGCACCTGCTCGCCGTCCGCCAGGCCGCCCACCGAGGGCAAGGAGACTAAGTCGGGCTGGAAGTTGCGCCTGGGGTCGCTGTCCGCGTAGCCCGGGCGGCTGCCGCCAAGCTCGCTGAGGGCTTGCGCGGCGGTGCAGGGAGGCGGAGGCATGGCCCGATAGACGTCGGTGAGGATCTCGACGCTCCGGCGCCGAGCGAGTGATTCCCCCAGACCAGGCGGAGCATTAACTGGGCAGCCGTGCATCTCATTCAAGCACTCCACCGCCGAATTAACCCAAGCCTGCCAATGCCGACGAACGTGCACGCGGCGTCGCGCAGATCGGCACCCAGAGGCTGGGGAGGAAAAGTGATCTTCACGAGGATATGGCAGCGTGAGGGGTAGGAGTTCGCGGCTGACTGTCATCCCTGCTTTCGGCGGCTGGACGGGGGCCCCGGCCGCCTGGCCGCTCAAGTGCCTCCAGCCCCCGCCTTGGCCGCCGCGGTGGCCTTGCCCAGGCCCTTCGCGTGCGCCTTGGCGGCGGCTCGCTCGGCAGCTCGCTCAGCCTTTTTCTTGCCCTTGCCTCCAGGGCCGTCCGGGAACGTCAGGAGGCCAGCCGCAGCATCCACGAGGGGTCGATGGACATGAGAAGCCTGACCTGCCTGCAGCCTCCTCTCCTCGTTCAGCTTCCTCGACTCCTTCGCGATCGTGCTCTCGCGGTGGAGCTCCGACGCCACAAACTCCTCCAACAGTGGACAAAGCATCAGCTGCCCACGCGTCTCTCCGACCCCGAGGTGCAGAAACTCGTCCTGCAGGAGAGCGTCGACCTGGCCGTCTGTCCTGAACAGCCTATGCTTGTAGCGGTACTCGGCCAGCTGGGCCCGCCGCAGGAGGAGTTCTACGAAGGATACCTCCGCGGCGTTGACTTGGTCGTAGGTCAGAGCGTACTCCAAGGCCTTCATGGCCGTCTCATGATCTGAAACTCCAAGATCAGCAATAGAGAGCGAGCACGTCGACTTCCACCATGAATGCCGAGCCCTCGGGTGACCGTTTGTCTGAAGAATAAACTGCAAACACCACTTTGTGGTCCGCGGCCCTGTCAAGGGCCATGAAACCCACGCCGTCTCCGTGACCAGGTCGACAGCGATCTTGAAATCCTTGAAACGCTTGCCCAATCGGTCCCGTGACACCTCGAGGATGCGTGCGTCGAGCTCCGCCTCCCCGCCGTCGTCGCCCTGGTCGACCGGCCCCGCCCCGCGGTCCGCAATGGGCCGCAGCGTGCCGTCCTTCAGCAGCATGCCGAACTCCGGCCCAACGACCCAGGCGTCCCCGCTCGGCGAGTCGAGGGCCAGACCGTTGGCGGAGCTGACGTCGACCCAGCGGCCTTCTGGGGCAGGAAGACGGCCTCCTCCGAACGTGACTCCAAGCTCGTCTGCGATCTTGAGAATCCTGACATCCTCCGAAGTGGAGGCGGGCGGTGCCTGCGGCGTCAAGGTGCCGCCGACAGCTGCCGCGCCCACAGGCGCGAGGGCACCGCCCCCGTCGTCAGGCTCACCGTCGTCGTCCAGAAGAGGCTCTGCGTCCGGATGCGGAACCACTTGACCACGATTCTGTGCTCGACAGACTGCTCGAGCTCTCTCGTATTGTGCTGGCCGAAAAACCTGTCCAGACTCGAACAGCCGTCCCCAGTGAGATGGAGGACCCAGGCAGGCCTCCCGCATAGGCGTCCCCTCGAGGTCGCAGGGCGCGATGCCGAGGAGCGGCGGCACGCTCAGCTCCTCCGGGTAGATGTCCCCAGTCGGCGTCCACACCCACATGATGAGAGCGGAGGGGTCGTCTGCTGGCTCGCCCCTCACGCGGGCCAGCACCACTGCGTCGCATGGCTCTATCAGCGTCCGTCGATGCCACAGGCGGCGCTCGGTGTCGTAGCGGACGATCACCTCTCGCCCTGGCTGCATATATCGGCGGGCCAGCTCCGGCATCCCGTCGCCAGGCGCAGGAGTTCAGTGCAGCACCGACCGCCAGCCCGAGAGCGAACGTGAGGAGACACAGTGCGTACGGGGAGCCGAAGTAGCTTGCCTGCACCGCACGCGTCAGAGCGCTCGAGGCCAGAGGAGAGAGCGCTGGCCAGGCAATCTTCCCGGCCTCCCAGAAGGCAGTGAGGGCGGTAAATTTCATTCACCTCAGGCGTCGCCGCCTCGAAAAAACTTGAGCATAGACGGATGCGGCCGGAGGGGAGAGAGAGAGAGAGAGAAACGTTCAGAGAACTGTAGCATATCCATGATGGGTGTACGCACATGGGTATACTAGAACCACGTGCGCGCTTCGCGCGCGCTTAGGTTCTAGTCGACTCCGAAAACGGTGTCAATTCCATGGGACCTTTTCCATGTGGTCTTCCGGGTTCCTCCCTTTCACCCATGCGTGATTTTCGGGCGGATACTGTGAAATTCAAGGAAGGGTTTGGCCTGTAGCGTACCAGCGACGACCGACGACGACGACGACGACGACGACGGACCACCGACGATCAGCATCATTGTCACCTGATCCACGTGTGCGCGAGAGGCGTTTCCGGAGCGTCTTGCGGGCGTCATGGGGGCGTCCTCGGGCCTCGACATTGGGTGGGCGGATCGGGGGTGCAGCCAGGGCCACGTGTTCCGAGGAGCTAACTATTACGGAGCATGGAGGACGAAGGGATTCTGGCGGACTTCTGAGGGTCTGTGTAGAGGCCTCCTGCGAGCTCGGTGGAGGTTTCTCGGGAGCTTCTCGTGTCTTTCTGGAGCGTTTTGGTGGCTTTTTGGAGCGTCATAGATGCCTCCTGGGAGTCTCTTGGAGCCTCCTGGGGGCCTCTTGGGGCTGAGGGCGCCTCTGTTCGGGCATTTGGGGGGCTCTCTGGAGCCTCCTGGGAATATCGTGGGCCAGCTTGGGAGCCTCTGGAGGGGTCCGGGGCCGCTTCTGAGCCCTCAAGGCCCCCCCAACCCCCCATGCGAACCAAAGGTCGCAGTTCTGGGCCCATCCAGCAACCGTGTCTGGGTTGTGGGTTAGAGGCTTCTCGGATGTTCGCTGGGATGAGATCGTGGGATGCCTCTCGGGGGGCCTTTTGGAAGCAGGTTTGAAGCCTCCACGGGGGCGTTGTGGAGCTTGTCGGACCTCTCTTAAGCATCTGTGGGGCCTCTTTGGAGCCTCTTGGAGCCACTTGGGGGCCTCTTGGGGCCTCGTCGGGGTCTCTGGGGGCGGGAAACTCGAAAGGTCGGTTCGCGTTCCCTCTCTTGGGTCCATCTTGGAACCGTCTTCAGGCCCTCCTCAGGCCCTCTTGGGCCGTC